GAGGCAAAACCAGCTGCACGAAATGGAATAAAGAATATACTGTCTGCAGGTTTGAGGACTGATTTATGCAGGAGCCAATCAAAATTAGTATGCATGAGTGCACGCGTGTTTGTTTGTGTGTGTACATGTGCATGCACCAATCTGGAGGGCTTTCGCATGCAATCGGGATTCGTTTTGTGTCCTGGTCCTTGGTGTTATACTCAAATTAGGATGACAGGAAAATGGTGGAAAAGATTAACTGGCAACTTGAGTGTGTGTGTCTTTGTGTGCATGGGCGTGTCACCAACCATGTATGCAGCAGTGTCGGTCTGTTGATATGTCTTCGTGAGTGTGTGCTGTGTTGCGTGGATCNCAACTGAAACCGGAAAAATGTCAATTCAGAAAACTTCCATCAATCTCACCAAGTGCTGACCACTGGCTGTGACTTATTATTACAAAGCACGGAACTATCCCCGTCTATCATGAACTATAATCCTGAGGAAGCGGCCAAAACGCTGCGATGGATTCGTTTGCTCCCCCAACCGGTAGATGCGTCCAGCATGCTGGTGACCGCAGCCAATAAAATCCCGAAACACATCGAATCCGTGGATGCGGAACAGTATGCTTCCTATCTCAGTGATGGTCTGGCATTGGGCTATCTAATGTCGGCTCTCGATCCGGGCATGTTGGCCAAACTGCAAGCGATGAAAACGTNAACGTGGCAAAAACCATTCTTCCCATATATGGAACAAGTGTTGCAGACCAAACGAATCGAAGTCTTTCTCCAATACGCCAAAGCAGTCGGTGTGGATCCGGCTCTGCTGTTCACACCAGAAGATTTGCGTTCGAGACGAAATATTGGCAAAGTGGTAAGCTGTATCACAGATCTGGGCATACTGACTCAAAACAAACGAGGATACAACGGACCGGATGATTTTTGGCCATATAAATGATCCCATCCACTTTGAAGATGATATAATTATGCATCTGTCTGTATTGGTATGTGAAAACACCTGTTTGTCTGCTCAAGGTAACCACCGTTCTGAAACTTGGTATGCTTCTGTACAGACTGACAGAGAGAGACCACGCGAGTGAAAATACCGTAACATGTTCGTCATTTAACTTAATTTATTCTATTCATAATCCCCTTGTGATCAATATCGCTATGCATATGATCATTCATACTGTGAGCCTCGATTCTTTGGTTTCTCTTTATAACTTTTTTGTGCCCAAGCTTATTCCCGCGCAGATCTTCTTACCAAATTTTGTTCCTTATTTTTTACTTAATAGATAAACGCTCTTATACACAGGTTTCCTCTCCTGGCCAGTTCCACAGGATGTATCCCGGTCGTCTGGTCGAAGCAATTTATACTTTAGTTATTTATGTTCATGCGAATATTTATGATGCGATCAAGTGATGCATGCCCTGGAAACCGAATACACCCAATTTGGGAATCGAGAGGGAGGGAATCACACAAAATATTTAATGCAGTGAAGTTATGTAAGCCGTGCGTGTTCGGAGAGGACAGGAGGGAGATGAAGGTTTACATTTTTCTTCCTTTTGAGGAAGAGAACTGCAGGAACTCCGTTGGCTGTTACACGTAAAACGAATCTACGCTCCGTTCATTGAGAAGTGTGTGTGTGTGTGTGTGTGTGTGATTGAAAGCTATTCAGAAAAGGCCATAGTATACCATCAAATCGGATAACATTTCCACGGATTGGTAATTTGATTGCACCGGTAACAGTTTGCCCTTTTTGATAAAACTCAGCTGATAAGGCAGTCAACCACTAAAGATATCTGTTTCAAAATAACTTCGTTCAAATGATTTCCCTTGTCAAGGCCCATGATAAAACTCATCTAAGGGGTGATAGTCTATCATCCTTCTTACTGTTGGATGCACACTTTATCGAAAATTCTTGCCTTAAACCAGTAGGTCAAGTCCCAACCTCTTCTGTCAGTAGGCTACTGGCGAGCTGCTGGAATCTGCTTCCATAAGTATATTTTGTGGATGAATCACAAGTATCTGGAAATAAATTTTGAAACGTTGCACCGATATGTTTTGTTTCTTCCGTACATAAGGCGAAAAATTTAGTTCAATTTTCCCCGTGATGAAATTATCCAATTTGCCCTACTGCAACATACTCAGGTTGCAGTTGAACTTCGATCTCGGTTCCACCTAGTACTTTATCAGTATTCCGATAGTGTCCATTTAGCTAATGAGCAACACATTCTGGACTATTCGTGGTGTGTCGTATGGAATTATAAATCCGTTTTTGGAGATAAACAGCAATCGATCGTTATCACAACTTCTGAAACGTCTCAATGGTATACCTCACTGGGAGCATAGATTACAGAAAACCATTACGACATTCCAAATAAGCATCCGTGGATTTATTCCTCTAGCACAGTCTTTTCATTTCTGCCCTTTACCAGGGTAGCCCTCCTGTCGGTTCATGAGTATATCGCTGAAAACGACACTTTGTTGTCGCTGACCGTCATACATACAGCGAGTGATTTCACTCGATTTGTGGAAATTCTGAGTGAAACCTTTTGCCTCAACATCACCTCCAGCGTCATTCAAACTTCCCGGAGCAGGCTAAATGCTGTCATCTTTCGAACGCTCTCCTGTTTCCGATCAACTCTGAGCACTGGACTCGGATGCCCTTCACGCGGTTGAACAGTTGCACAACCAAATGCTCACGGAGCTGGGAAACTGTGGCAAAGCCACGTAATGATTGCATCGGTTATCTGATCCACACGTTGAGGTGAAACATCTACGCCGGATCAGAGAGAGGGATT